AAGGTCCAGTGTAACCTGGAAAAAACTAAAGCAGTAAAGATTTATTAATGCAATTCAAAATGAATCAGATTTTCCCGGTGCTCAAGTAACGATTACTTAGACAACAGCTCCAGAAAATCTGCGAGATCTGCAAAATTCAACGTTACATGTGTATGTGAATTCCTAAACAAACATTTCATTTTGCAGGGCTATGAGATTAGCTGCTTCTACATGGAAGCGGATAAGACAGTAACTTATCCGCTGACGGTATCGATGAAATCGTTAGAGCCTTACACAGAGCTTGCCGAGATGCCCCGGTGCCATTATGAGGTGGTCGATCCGATCAGTATGGAGCCGTTGTCGGTTGTTTCGGTTGGTAGCAAATTGCTCCACAAGTGGAAATGTGACTCGGCCGCAACAAGTTTGCTACCATTTTCCTTTCTTCATTTTGTGTCCTATCCCCTCTTCTTTGTCATGTTCACTACAAAATCCGCATTATACGCCAGTAATAATTGTCCTCTAATTGCTTAGTTGTAGGCTCATTTATTCTCAACTTCCATCAGTTTTAAACAGATTTTGCTAGAATTTTCCAGGTATTGTTCCAGGCATAAAACGCATTAAAGACATCATTTCTATGCAGGTATGTGTTCGGATGCGCTTTGTTTGGGTTCTTCAACTGACGAACTAGAGAAGCTAGGGAGCTAAAATTTTAAGAAGTTTCCGGCCATATGGAACCCACAAATCTAAATTCAACTTTCAAGCATGCCTAGGCCTCACGTATGGACAACTGAAAGCTTTGGTTAAAAACTTCCAAGCTCAGAAAACAGACATTTCCATTATTTTTACATGCACTAAACTGTAAAGTGGTGAGCATTCATAATAGCAAGCGTCCGCTTGACAGAACTGCGCAAGATTCATTATTGCACGGACTGTCCAGCGCACGCCATTATTTATTAGTCTCCTATTTTCATACTGCACGATTAGATTTTCCGGGAATAGTAAGAATTTGTCAGCAGGGACTGAAGGATTTGTCAACAGGGACTGGAGAAAGCACAACTCAGTCATTTAATGCGTACCCCTCAAAAGAATGCCTGACTCTTTCTGATTCGTTGCCATCTGCTGTTATTTTTACTTTTGAATTCACAGTTTCAATTTAAATTAGTAGCTGTGTACCTGTGCAGAAGGACGCAGCTCAAACGAGGAGTGTGATACCCAAAGGAATGTGATACCCAAAGATATTTTTTCAAAATCAAACAACGATATTCGATCACTTAATCAATTCTGTCAATGATCCGTAACCGTCCTTTTTCTCTTCAGTCCATTTTCTCGAATAATCGAGCGATATTGTAGGTTTATGGTGTATGACAGTGCATTCATGCTTCGTTGAAGATGGATCCGGAACGCAATTTGTCATTCTCAACGAAGAAGGGTCAGTTTTCTTTCCACTTTTCTTGATTTTTCCGCATAAATCGGAAAAAAATTGGCAGATTATTACATACTTGGTCATATGTCGGCCCAACTGCATTATTTTAGCAGAGGATCGAGAGCGCTAGTTAAGAATTTCAAGCATATAACTTTCGAATGTATGTTGCCATCACTCTCAAAACAACTTTCTATCCTATTGTTCTCCAATAACTTTTGGTCTCGACTGTAAAATCGGAAAAGTTCGAGACACTGTCCGAGACCGAAAATCTATTTCACATCACAGTGTGCAGCTAATGATCTGAAATCAACTTTCCACTTTTGTATTGTCCTGCTCTGTAACCTCGTGTCAAGTCTTTGTATATTAATTACAATGAGAAGGCAGCAGCAGAATTTATTTTTTCTAAGTGAAGATATTCTTTTTCTTTCATTATTTTAACGAGCTTGAAATCCAGTAGCCGTACTTCTGGAATTTTAGTATTCTGTTTGTTCGTGAAGGCGCTACTTTTTAACTTCAGAGCATAATGCGGCCATGAATTTAAAAGTCTCCTAGCCAAGAAATCACTGGGAGATGAAATGCTGCTTTGTAGTTGTGCAATCGATCGGTATCTCCTGGATAACCTGGAATACGGGCCCGGTGAGTTGGAGGCGCAGAAGGAAGCACACGCGTTCAAATTTGCTGATAAAGTGGTCGTGAACTTCCAGTGCTCCATTAGATTAGATATTCGAGATGGCGAGTGTCCGGTTTGATTTTATCTTTGCATATTTTTGTTTCCTTTTTCATATGATTGCTATTCAAAGACTTAATGTGTCGAAATCGTCTCAGTGTATGAAAGTACGCAGCATGAACTGCGAAATTTAGGGACTGAGTTTGCTAAAAAAAAAAAAATTGCAAGACGAATCAGTCAACTTTCAGATTATCTGCGTCTCTTAATTGGGGACAAGATTCAAATTCAGGCTAGTGGTGTGTTTTGTGGGCCAGTGAAGCTAGGGAGAGGAAATCTTGAGAATTCAATGCAACACATAGTGGGAGCAATTTAGGCCCTAGCTGCATTATTAGTGCATATTATGGGGTTCATTCACAGGCCTATTTTAGCACTTATTACTGATGAACTTATAACTCAAAAATTTTGTTTGGTTTTAGCTGTTCAGAAAGCGAAGAATAAAGATCATCTAGAAAGAACTTTCTAACTTAATACATATTGTCAAAATGTCAAAAATCAAAAAATCCTTTTTTTTTTCACTCTCGACGAGAAGTGTAGGCATTCAAGAAGTAGCTTAAGGACTGTAAGCGCAGAAG